CTAAAGCCTTACAAACTTTATATTAAGTAACACCAACTAAAGCCTTACAAACTTCTATTAAGTAACACCAAATAAAGCCTTACAAACTTCTATTAAGTAACACCACTAAAGCCTTACAAACTTCTATTAAGTAACACCAACTAAAGCCTTACAAAGTTCTGTTCAGTTATGGTAACAAGAGTGACCAAGCATTTTTTCTTCGTTATTACTCCAAGTTCCCTCCATGAAAACTATGCAGATGCTCATCATCTGTGATTGTACATGGTAGCAATGTTATTTTTCATCACTAACCAAACAATACTTCCCCTAGTTACACTAATATATTGTTACCTTGTTTCAGGTTTGGATGTCAAACTTCAACAATTCTACCCCTCAGACTCAGACCTCAGACTTTGACAATACTAACCCTAGTTAAACTAAAATATTGTTATACAGTTTCAGTTTTGGACCTCAGACTTCAACAATACTAACCCTAGTTACACTAAAATATTGTTATACAGTTTCAGTTTTGGACCTCAGACTTCAACAATACTAACCCTAGTTACACTAAAATATTGTCACCTTGTTTCTTTTACCGACTTCAGTTGATTTTCCACATCATGTTTTACTGGGTGATTGAAGAGTTCTTTTGTAGCAGATAGTTCACCTACAGACTCTCTAACTGTGGATTCTTCTGCAGAGCCTGTAATGTCTGGATGTGTATCCGAAGATAGTGGCAACTGAAACCAACAATATATTTCTCTTTAGCAAACTGAACAGCTAATTCACTGTTTTTTCCTCTTTTATTACCAAAAACAAAAAGTATTCCAGAAAGTACAAAAAACAATTGGAGTACAAGTTAAAGTTCAGTTCTACCTGTATAATATCCTTACTCTCTTCTTCAAAAGGGTGGTTTTCTACATCATTAAAATCTTTAGCAGCTGAAGCAACAAGTTTACTGTTTGTAGTGAAGGTCTGGAATTTAAAAAAAACTTCTTTTGGTCACACTTCACATTTTTTTAAATAAAGGTAGTGCTGTACAATACCACTCACTTTAATCAAGACAGTGTATAAACCAAATACTAAAACAATACAAACCATACTGACTCATTTAGCATCAGTTGGTTGTAAATACAATAACATTTGCTAATCCACCAGTACTTAAAATATTTTCAAACATACAAGCATTAAAACACATCATCAAGTTGCTCTTTTATAAAGATCTATATATATTTCTGGGGGTCATAGCATTGACAGAAAATACATTATTCCTTTTTTTTTAAATAAATCTTTATGATATATTTTTAAAAATAACATATTAAGCCTGTACAGGTAAATTACCAAGTTTACTCTTTAAAGTACTTACAAACAATATCAAAACTTTCAAACTTATAGCAAAAAAATTAAAAATATCAAACAATAACATTTGTTTTACAAACTGAAAGCGTTTTGAGACATAACCATCTTGTTCTGTTGTTTCAATACATAGTCCGAAGATGTCACCTCAGTGGAAACATGAACATTGAATCAGACAACTCTCACACAAAGGCTCCTAGCAATAAAACTTTGATGATATTAATATACTAATTTTTATAATTGTTTTTACTACTTTCTTTTATTGCAAAAAAAAAGAACTCTTCAACACAATGTTGTGAATCTCAGATAAATCTACTAAAATCTACATTTCTTACAGTGATGGCTTGAAATCAAAGTTTACATCATGAAAACCCATCACCATGTATTAGTTTGAAACACTGTACCTCTCCAGAAACATCACCTAGTTCTTCATTCTCCAGTTGTACAGGAAGTTGACTTGATTCATGTAATTCATTCTGAGCCTCTGTGTTGTTCTGAGGAAGTACTCTGTTACTATTAGTACACCATCCTCTAAAAAATGTAACATAATAATATATATACTCTGTTACTATTAGTACACCATCCTTTAAAAAATGTAACATAATAATATATATTGTTACTATTAGTACACCATCCTCTAAAAAATGTAACATAATAATATATATACTCTGTTACTATTAGTACACCATCTTCTGATCTAGATAAACCAACCTATAAAAAATGGACACCCAACACATGTCCAAACATACCATGTATTTGTCATCCCCTACTTCATGTCATTTTTCAAGATGATTATTATAAGTTTCTTAAAAAAATATTTTTCTTTATTTAAACACCTGCAAAACATTTTAATATTAACTATCAATTCAATGAACACAATTTCCTGATAACACAGTCCTAATTTCTTAAATACACTATGCATAGATTTACATGGTTAAATTAAAAAACAAACTGCATTTACAAAAAACACAATCAGAAAACCTACTAATGTATTACTCAAGAATCAACTTTTTCAAAAACTAAAATACATCAAGGTTAAACCCTGAATCTCATTAAAAACCTTTCAGATTGACTCCATCAAATTATCAATATTGCAGACATGTATATATATACACACACACACCAACCACTTCGCCAAACATGTATATACACTCACACACCAAACCAACCATTTAGCCAAACATGTATATATATACACACATCAGGTCAACCACTTAGCCAGACATGTATATACATACCAGGCCAACCATTTAGCCAAACATGTGTATACACACCAAGTCAACCATTTAGCCAAACATGTGTATACACACCAAGTCAACCATTTAGCCAAACATGTGTATACACACCAAGTCAACCACTTAGCCAAATATGTATATACACAAACCAGGTCAACCATTTAGCCAAACATGTATATACACACCAGGTCAACCACTCAGCTCAGAAAGTAATTGTGGGTGGAACACTTACTTAATGCCAGAATAATAATTTAGAACATGCTCTGATCAGGGCTTGAACCACATACTCTTGGCTCAGGCTAGTGAACTGTAAACTGAAGCCTATTCTTTAACAGGATTCAAGTCCCCCCCTCTCTAAGTGGTTGACCTGGTGTGTGTAAAGGGATGGATGAAATGCTGAGAAAAATATATTTCATACAATTATAACACATTACTATCAACAGCCTATATTTTTTTTTAAAAAGGTGTACTTTTTTAGTCCCTAACTACTATACAATCAAGTGCTGGAGAAAGGAGGAAATGTAGAAATAATAATAAAAATATTGTTCAATATTGTTATGCTCATGCTTAAAGTTTAACCTACTAACAGTAAGAAAGCTATACCAAAGATGCAAGCAATTTTAATTTTTAGGACTAATTACTAGCACTGTATACAAACATTTTCAATTTCACATCAACTTTATTCAAATTATTGCACATAAAACGTTTTGAACAACCCAATCAATACCGTCTGTGCCAAAACAGGTACTAATGCTACTCTACTGAAATGTTCAATTTCTAAGTTCTATTGTGTTCACTATAAAAGTATAAATTATATTGAAATGAATTTGAATGCAACTTAAGTTACGATTGCCTTCTCTGATTTTTCAGACTAAGTACAAATATAATACTACTATTACTAGTAGTAATCGTAATACTAATAGTGATAGCAGCATTATGAGCGAAAATATTTTTTTCAAAAAGTGCCAAAACTCCCTATAGTATATAGCAGAAGCTATGGTGAAATACTAGTTCTTAACGTAATTTGTATTTACTTTTTTAGTATAGTAACTTAGTATTATCTAATATTTAACTCATTAGTATTACTATAATAATTATTATCACTATTAGTATTACTTGGTATATATTATTAACAGTAACTTTATCTCGTTACTTACCGAATAAGAAATTCAATAAAAATACATAAAGAAACTTGTAGAACTTTAAAAATTTTCATTATTTTGATGTTTAAGCTGTGTTCCTAATCCTAACATCATTTACGTTTTGATAAATTAAATAACAAAAAAAGTTAACTAACTAGAATTTTATACAACTGACTAGTTCAAATAAAAATTAAACTGACGTGTACTTTACACTAGAGGACACTAGCGTTATCTAGAAAATATCGTATTTAAATTAAATCTTCAAGTATATATGTTCAAAATTGGAAAGCTTATTCTCAGATAGCCCTTTTTGTAAGGTGTTGAAAAATTATGAAAGGACGATAAAAAATGGAAAAATTATAAAAAGTACTAGTTTGTTATAAAGCAATAAACGCAATAGTTTTTCACTCTATTAATGTTATAGATTTTTTAATCCTGTTTTATGTACTCTTGAGTTTATGTTTACAGTCATTCATTTTATATTCATTCATTTTCCAAAAACAGCTTGACATTATATATATGTATTCCGAAATTTATGTCTTTTTAAGCTTCATTAGCTTCCTGTCATTAGATAGTCCTACAAATCATGATATATGACAAAAAGGGATGTTTCTTAAGTAGAATACTAGCATCTTGGTGTAATTAGTAGTCTAAAGTAGCCTGCTTTTTTTAGGATCGCGTACAGCATGGACGAACACAATAGCCTCGGCCAGGCAAGCGCCGGTTCTGGCACGACAGATAAAGTAGAGGACCACAATATAATGCTTTAAATTCTATCTCTGGTCATTCTGCTTTTTTTTTAAAGAATCAAATATGAGCCAAATAATTGACAAAGCATTTCGACGTTTTTAAAAACTAAAGTTTTCGTGCAGTTTTACATTTAAAGCAAAAATCATATACATAAAAATATATATATATTCATTAAAGGTATTCCTAACTTTCCCAGAACCAGCTCTTAATATATGCCCCCCAGTAGCACAGCGGTATGTCTGCGGACTTACAACGCTAGAATCCGGGTTTCGAGACCCGTGGTGGGCAGAACACAGATAGCCCATTGTGTAGCTTTGTGCGTAACTTCAAACAAACAAACAATCTTAATATATTTCTTCCTGAACGACTATTAGGTTTCTGTCAATCAGTTTAAACTTATCAATGATTCACCACTGGCGGTGAAAACTAAAAATAGAATAAATCTCCCTCGTCTAGTTCAGCTTAGAGTTGATGACATTTATAATAATTATTTTACACAATGTGAAGTAAAGAAATTTGAAGCGTCTTAACGGAAGATTTGATACTTGGTATCCAACTTTTTCGTTTTCATAATTGTAACATAAATAAATTCAAAACAGCAAGAACGGCGGACAGTTAAAAGGAATACACACAAAGAGATCTATGTAATTCCATTTTTAGCTGAAATTTAGTTGCGCATTACCCTATATTCTAACATTCATTCTAAACAGTATTTCTTATATAGATGGACAGCTTATCTAGCTAAATAGCACACAAAAATTAATTAATATCATCATATATAAATATATTTAAATTTCCTTTATAAATATTGGATTATTGTATGAGTAAAAGACTTGAAAACACAATTTACATAATGCCCAATTGAACACTTTATGACGCCTACTCTTAGGGTATTGATTCTCGTTATGTTAAGAAATGCTTTCATGACCAAATTGTCATTAAAATTACCTTTAAATATGTATCCTCTTCTATTGCATAAAAGATAAATTAGATGCAGAAAGATTACAGGCTTTAATCTTCGCAAAAGTTGTTTTATATGAATATCTGATAGTACTATATATAAGAAGAAAATAATACTGATATTAATTATTAAAGTTACTTAGAATTATGATGGGGATAAGTATTTACTTTTAGTGTATTTCACCTTCTTAATATTACACTATTAAGCATTGTACTGATAAACCATTTTAGGATGATTTTTTATCTAGATCTGAAGAAAACATTGTATTGCTATATTTCTTGATCATGTGTGTACCCTTCCGAGTAAGTTTTATTCATATACAAAGATTTGATTCCATCAACAAGCAAATCGTTAAAAAAAACCTGAAAATAAATTACACACCTTACTTCTAGTAAAACAATAAAATGTTGGCTAAAGAAAATGAAACTTACTGTTTTAAAAGGTTATCATTGTTACTTGGAAGGTTATAATAAATAAATTACACACCTTACTTCTAGTAAAACAATAAAATGTTGGCTGAAGAAAATGAAACTTACTGTTTTAAAAGGTTATCATTGTTACTTGGAAGGTTATAATTTTTTTATCATAAATAATTATATTATGATGAAGAAGGTATTAAATTATGAAAAATATTAGTATATGTATTTAAATTACAGTTGATAAGTGTACGTTCTTTGCTTCAACCTAGAGTATCTTTTACTTTTTATATAAAAAAAAAACGTGTTGCTAGATGGCAGAATATACGTGTCTGCATAACATATGTTTGGTTGTTTTTGAATTTCGCGTAAATCTACTCAAGAGCTATTTATGACAGTCGAAAATAATTTTGAATTGATAGACTTGAGGGTAGAGCTGCTAGTCATCACCAGCTACCATCAACTCTTGGGTTTCTCTTATCAACGGAATGAATGATTGATTCTTATATAATACCGCCCTTACTGATAAAGTGACAACAATGTTCTTTTATGGATTTCGGATCTCACGACCCACAGCTCTCGGTATTAAGTTGTAACGCGAATTATAGAATAATTTGGCTGACTAAATAACACACAAGAATAAATTACTAGCTTCAGTAATGGATATTCCTGAAATTCTTGTATGAAGGAATGATTACTGTGTTATTAAAAGACATTTTAAACACCATACATGTATTATTGTGATGATTTGTCAACTCGAAATCGTTTCAGTAAGATTGCTTTTAAGTATATATTCTTTCTTTATCACATACAAGTGCTATTAAATGCAGGAATCTTGCCGACCTAAATATTTGTAAAATTCAGTTCATACCTATATTTATCACTTTTGATGAAAAGTGTTTTTGTTTGTTTTTTATGAGGAAGCTACTAAAATTATCTGTAGGCTGCGAATCGAGAGCCCTAACCACTTATAATTGCACTTAAGGGTTTTTCTCAATTAAACAACTATAGTGAAATATATTAGGGCTCCAATAAGTGTAGACTCCATCTAAGCCAATGTTATTGAACATATATATATATATATATATAATTGATGACACTTCTGGCAAGTACAATCAGACTCTTTTCCGTCTTGTCATTCCCTAAGGAACAAAATCCGAACATGCAGCTAATGTGGATGTATT